TGGTCACAGGCCGTGGGCCGGTGGTGTGGTGGGAACAGCGTGGGTCAGGCACCACGCTGTCGTAACTATTCTTAGGAATAGACTTCAGCTAAGTCAGATCAGCGGAGCGGGGAGATTAGTGACAGTTTCGATACATCCGACGCCTTGACCAAGGTCATCCATTGGCTTCTACACGTCGTGGTTCTCCTTCTGTTGGCATCTATTTTCTACGCATAAGAACCACCACTGAAAAACGATGGTCAGGGCAGGCCAGACACCTCGCAGAGCTGCTTTTGGACTGCGTCAAGAGACAGAATGAGCTTTAAGCAGATGCCCTGTTGAGATCCACCTCCCTGCCACACACATGGCATAGCCAAACTGACGCGTAGGTAGGAACTGCAGCGTTGACACCAGAGGAAGGATAAACCGGTGTGAACTTTGGCCCCGCTTGGTGTTTATTTACATCCCCGATGGACTCTAAAGTGCAAAGCTCACTGACTCCCGGCTGCCCCTGCATAGCTTGTCAGAACAGAGGTAGGGGGTGGTAGGCACTGCGGACAACGTGGTGACTGGAAAGGTGCCTGAACACCACGTGCATCTTTGATCCCGGGCTTCATGCTCAATTATCTCCCGTTCAAAACAGAATCTGACAAAACATGACAACACTTCCTTTTTTTGAGGGACAAAAGAAGAAAGACTGATCCCCTAGTTACAGATAAGTAGTTATTCCTCCCCCTCAGTCTAGTCATTGCTTGAATTCCTCAGTTGCATGGGATTAACTTCTTCAGGGCAGAGACAAGGTATTTTTTGAATCTGCCATGTGCAGTAGGTAATGAGCTTACAACTCAAATGCCACTTAATGTCCACATGCACTCGGTGCACAGCAACCTTAAACTTATCACCTTGGTCTCCTGTATGTCAAGGAAGAGAGGTTTCATGGGTTTGAATCTTCTTAAGCGTGCTGTAGAAGGCTGGTGGGCTTGGTGAAGAATGCGTGCCTTAAACAAGGTTAATGGAATGAAAGCATTAAAATACTGTGAACGGATGAGCTCTAAACCATGTTTGACAGATACAGGGCCAGGGTGGGGGGTGGGGGGCAAAAGGAAAGCTAATTTGAAGGTTAAATTGATAGTAATTCTACCTTGAAGTAAGCTAACTTTTTTTTTTTCTTCCCCTCTCCAAGTGGGTGACGCTTTGGCCTTCAACTATACCTTATAGTTACTTAGGAATATTTGGTACCTTCCTTAAATATTTAGTGGAGAACCACCACAAATGGGTGTGCTATGGGTAAGTTGTATTTGAGTCTGTAGTTATTTTGCATCTCTCTCTCCTGTTGCCTCTCTCTGAGTCTTCTGCTTAGTTTGTGTTAACAACCTCTCCTGTAACCCAGTTGTTAATTATGTTTGAAGAGCTCTTATTTCAAGCTCATTACAACTAAGGGTGTGGGCTAATAAATACGTAGAAGACTAGACAGGCTAAGGCCAGTATGAAAGTTTAAAAATTCAACTTAGAGTTTGGCATCTGTGCTGCTATAGTGAGAAAGGAAAAAAATGAAGGTACTACTTTTGGAGACACTTATTAGTCCATATTTAAACATGTATTTGTATTACCTCCTGAAATTAGACAACCTCGAGTAGTCCAATTCTCTCTTAAGGAGTCGTCATCTTCTTCCAGCCTCCATTAAACAACATTTTCTACCCTGCTACTAACTTGTCCCGATCCTGTCCACGTGAAAAATAACCTGGTGAAGAGGCTGCATAGTGCTAAGTTTTGCTGGGTTACAAAATGAGCTTTTTTGTTATTTTAATTAACAAAAGAGCTGGAAAACACTTCCCTGTAAACAGATCTCCCACTCGCTGACTTCCTGTAAATACAGGAAGACAGCAAGACTTAGTTGTTTATTTTACCATGCACCGTGTAGATCATCAGCCTTCATCTTTGCTCAGAGCATCTTTTTCTTTAGCAAGGCATTGAATTGATCTTAACTGAATGTCCCGTGTAACCTTTTTTTAAAAAAGCTTCTTTCTGAAAATTTGTACACAAGTTTGACTGCTTAAGTCATACTATATATTCTGAATCTGTTCACACAGTTGTTTTCGTAGAACTAAACCCATGAACACTTCAGTATCTCATTAAGACCACTAAAAACACTTGTGTAAGCAAAATGATGGATTTTGCACACTTAACAAAGATTAACTTGTACTGCTTTCACTGAGCATCGGGCCTTTTGGCTTAATCTGAGTGCTGAAAGTTTTGGAAATGTGCAGCAGATTCTTGAAACAGCAGGTCCAGGCATATTGCACAGGTCAGAGTTCCTCTAACTTTCTCAGTGAACTTCAGTTTCTTCTAGAGGCTACGCATGTGGATTTTCGTTTAATAAGATGAAAACCATGTCTTGCTCTTTAGATTAAAGTGAGATGTCACCTCTGTGCTTCCACTTTTACTTTCCTCTCCCTAATTTTCAACCAAATAAAACATGTTTTCTTTTTACTAGGTTCTGGGTATCCTGGTTGATTCACGTAGTAGAGGCCTTCTACACTGTTAAGTTATGCCAGTAAGTTGTTCCCTCCGCCCACCCCAACACAGATCCTCGGAAAAGGATTTCTGATAGAAGTGACATAAGCTACAGTCTGATTTCGGTGGTTCTCATCAGCAGTATTAGTTCAGAGGATACCGATAAAATTCTTGCTGCAGGGATAGTTTGCTGTCCTCGAGAGGCTACTGCAAATGCTGCTGGTGGTTACTGTTGTCGAGGGTGGCAAAAGCGCAGGGGAGGGCGACTTGCAGAACTGGCAGTAGCAAGATTTGCCAGAGCTTGTCTGTCTGCCTCCGAGTTCCCTGTTCACCGGGTAACATGGCACTTGAGGAAGCAGAGGCAACAATGGACAGTGTAGAAACAGTCTGATAACTTCAGGTGTTATAACTTCATTGGATCTTACCCCATCAGAATTTTGAGACTGCTAATTACCTGCTTAAGTGATTGTATCTATGTTGTGAAAAATACAACTGGACATGTCCACGTGGGACTAGACTGCTAAACAGTTGTACTTCACAACGAGCAGCAAACACCATACACTTTTTACTGAGGTGAAAGTGATGTTTGCTTAGGAATATCACCAAGGAGGCATGAGGAAGAACTAGGCAGGCAGCAGGTACAAATCTGTTAATCAGCAGTAGTACTGCCATTGGCTGTTGGCCTGTATTTCTGTATATGGTCCCTTCAAGTTAGCTTGCTTCAGACAAGCAGGTCAATTGCTGACGCCCTGGGTTTCCAGATTCTGCACTCACTAGGAAACACTGCAGCTGGGATGGTAACAAAAGGTTGGTCACATCTGGTGAGACGGTTTGAGAATGAACATGAGGAAATGTTGTGTTCATCAACACTTGCTGCACAGTCATTTTGTAGGTGTAGAGGCCATGGAACAATTAACAGCTGAAGTGTTCTAGCAGAAGTCAGTAGAGGGAGCTCCCTTGTATACGAATGAGTAAGGAGCACAGCTATGCCTGGCGGAATTGTTTACTGGAAATGTGAAATCAGTTGGGTTTGTTATCGTGTTTGTACTTTTTCCTTTCTCTGAAAAGTCAGTAGTATTCCCCAACAGTGAAGTGGAGGAAAAAGCGACATTTGCTGGAATATGCAGAAAAAAAATCACATATTCCAAGTTAAAAATCAACGGATACAGGAGGGTCCCTGCTTTATAAATAAAGTCAGGTGTATTCGGCCCCTTGCACTTGTATTTTTCTAGCCACAAATTCAGGGAACAGCGCTCCTCCATCCTGCATCACACAGTAACTGTCAGGGCTCGTTGCCCTGCTAGCACACAGCCTACCTTCAGTGACTGTAGTCAACAAGGAGTTACACATAGATTAGTATTAAACGACTCTAGTTTCTTGGTTCTTTGTACCTAAACTTCTAGGTTAAGTAATTTCAAATAGCATAGACTGAGATTGCAATTTATGTATTGTTGAGGAAACTCTATGCACGAAATCTCGGAGAGAACCTTTGTTCTGTAGATAGCTTGAAGTCCACTTAAAATCATGGGAACTGGTATGTTTAGTACAGGAAATGAGTCTCAGTAGATTGAAATTAATGATGCTGAGATCAAATGTTCTAATCAAGTCTGATGTATCAAGGGCAGATGGACATATCTAACATTTCTGAGTATCACAGTACAGTCTGCAAGACTTAAGTTTTTTGACACATTTTCTGCTTTTGTTTATGTTACAGATCGAAAGGAATCACGGACCCGGCAGTTCAGTTTCAATGGTTCATTCAGACACTGTTATTTGGGTATGCTTCCTTTGGTCTTCTGGTGTGTTACAAACCTTCAGCCAAGAAGCACTACTAGAAGACAGTGAACGAAGTTACTTCTCACGTTCTTCACCCGCATTTTTCAGCAGACATCTTCACTTACACGTCTAGGTGCTGTAACGAGCTAAATGACATTCCTGCGACATGACGCGGTACCCTTCTACCTCTAGTGCCCAAGTAACTCTCCTCTTAAGAAACAAGAAAATTAGGATTCAGAGGGCCTTGTGGATAGTTCAGTAGAAATTCAGCCCTTCAGTCTTGGCACTGCCAGGGTTTAATCCCATTTATTATGCAAGACTCCAGAAGTTGCTCCTCTGCAGTTTTTGATACAGACGGTATACTCTGATTGTCCTTGAAACGTCCCTGACAGCTGGTAGTTGTGGTTGATAAATTACATTTTCATGTGTAAGAACTTTCTTCAGCAACAGAGTTGTTTACAGCCACAAGGTATCTTGCACCTGTTTTGTGATAGGATTTAAGTTGCCCTATATTTTTCTCTACAGGAGGTTTTATTGTTTTGTTGTTGTTAGGGCGTGGTCTTTGTATTTTGTTTTGTCAACTTGTTTTCTTCCCCCAAGGGCAGACCACGTTATTGCTGCAGGCACACGAAGGAGGCCAAGTCTCAGTTCAGGCTGAGGTGCAGTGAAGAGCCGATACATGAAGCACTTTAACTTGGTTTAATACACGTGCCTTCAGTTTCACGCAGCATGACCTCATCTGTCGGGTGAAGATTTTAATCCCTTGAGTTAGTATAGCGTAAAGTGGTAATCCTGAAGCTTTGAGGGCAGCTTTTCGGAGAAGTCACATATTACCCAAGAAAAAGTCAATTGGCATTCCAGAACCTAACTGAAAATGTTGTGTGTGTGAATGGAATTAGGTGCAGTGAGTAAACATACACCACTGTTCCCTAGATGCTGATGTCCTGAAACCTGTGGTGGAGAGACCACCTTAAGCACCCCCCAGAGCACCTCCTGTAGGCAGGGCGAGCCTTTATCAGAACTGCCTTTCGCTTTGGAATATTTGAACAAGGATTTAACCTGTCTTGTTTTAGCACTTTTTTTTTTAAACATAATAACTATTTAAAACACTAACTATGGTGTGGGGAGAAGTTCTACCATGCCACCTGTGGTGCTACTGTGGTGGAAGAAAGGACAAGAGAAGGTTGCTTCTCCTCTAACGAGGAGCTCCACGAGGAAGGGTGGTTGAAAGGGTGGTTTGGGGTTTTTTTTGTTTTATTTTCAAATGGTAAACTGGTAACATATGGTAGAGAAGTAGAAACTCATGTTTAGTGGCTAGAAATCCCAGAGAAACATTAAGAGCCCAAGCGATGTTTTCCTGTGTAACCTTTTATCTTAGTTTCGGACCCTGGAATAAAGATTTTAAAAGAAGTGAAGTTGTTTGGCTTTTTAATTATCCTGGAAATAAATGTCTACACAAAATAAATAGGCCTCATCTTCACACCAGTATCGGTGTTTGCACTTGGAGTACAGAGGATCAGCTGCCTGTAGGCTTCCCTGAGCAGAAGCCGAGTGTTTCTAACAGGGCAAGGTACCCATGGGACTTGTCTCTACAACAACAGAAGAATATTCTCCACAGCACTGAAACACGTACAGGTATAATACTTTGTGTTTTCAAGATGAATTCTAGCTGAATGATAATGAGCATTAACTTAAAGAGCGTGAAGGGATAAAAGGAATAACTTTGGTTCCACATTTTCATGGCAGTGTTCCTGTAAAGCGGAAAAGGTGTAAGACTAACGCCACAGCCAGTTAAAGACTTAGGAGAGGTGGTAACTCACTTTTTCCTTCTCACTTGTTCTTGTTTCCCACTACCTTCTGTCAGGGAAGCTGCAAATAAGGTCAGAACACCACGGCAGCTGCCCCTCCCGCCGGCAGCCTGCGCCCCGAGCACTCGCGACGCTCACCATCGCAGCCCCCCCAGCCCTCCTGCGAGGGCGCGGCAGACGACACACAGCTCGGAGAAGCTGACAGCTTGCTGCTAGACTCGGCTTAATTAGAAGGGCTTTTAATGTCTTCTAAAGTTTTGGAGACCAGTACAATCCCAACCTCAAAATCCAAGCAAACTGCAGGACAAGCAATGCTGACTAGCGTTCAATGTAAAGTAGCCTTGAGGAAAAGAAAGAAACCTCGGAACGACCAGATTCAAAATAATTCTAAGACGCCATTTCTTAGTATTTCTCTGCAGCGTCCCCAACGTTGCATGCAGCGAGACAAACGCACCGTAATACGAAATTATTAGCTACAAAACCCCGCGGAAGCACGAATCCATCGCTAAGGCCACGAGGAGAGACGCTCAGGGTAACAGGCCTTCGCGAAACCGCGCGGGTTACACCAGGCACAAGCATTTCTCCAGGCTATCCCAGTTGCCACAGTAAAGGATTAGGAGCGATCACGTAGAGCAATTCCCTCCAGTGCAATCGACAGGCCCTTTGCACACACAAGGGGGGAGCAACCCGAGCCTACCTGCCAGTTCCCACAGCGGCTCACGGGCCGGGCAGAGGGGTACATCATCTCCCAGGCCGGCCTCCACCCCGCCCAGCCTGCCAAATGAAAACGCTCCCAAACGCTGATACCTCGGTGTAACAAAACGTTGCAAAACGCTACTTCCCACCGAAAGGCGAAGCAAAGGAAAGTACAGAAGGGCTTGCACTATTACCCACCGCTAACAAAGAAGGTGCATCACCAAGAAAGCGAAGAAAGGCTTTCGGGGGGATATTTCTGCCAGCCAGGCAGAACTGCCTGTCTCCACCTGCTACAAATTGAAACCATAAGACAAACAGCGCCCCTTGCTATGAAAGCCTACGTGCAAAACGGGGTATGCTTTATGCTTAGAGTGTAAAGTAAATGCCGAGAACATTTAAAACAGCAGTACTTATTTTTTCTAGACATATACCAAAAGAAGGCATTATTTCTTTGCCATACATTGGTGATCAAAAGCAATCGCTTCATACAAGCACGGCTTACAACAGCGCTTTCATGCTGTGATTGTTTCGTAAATGGGTTACAGGGAAAACACAAAGAAACTACCCAGATCCATTTTTACCTCTAAACCATAATATATGGAAAGGAGCATACTGCGCTTCTTAAAGGTGAGCCGTCCCCAAATCAGCACGTTTGCCAAATTAAGCTGTTGATGAGAAGCTGGGTCAGGAAATGCAGCATCAGCCCAAAAACTTCCCTCAGCCTGAACAGAGGAAACAAGAAGTCTCCCAGCAGCTTCCAAGAACTATTTCTAAAGCCTGAAGGGCTGTAGCTCATTTTTGCAAGGGAGCGATGAAAAGCAACAGCCAGCTGAAACCCCTCACCAACATACCCTTCCCGCCCCTCCTCTCCTTTCTGTGGATTCTCTCAGGTGGGGTTGATCTGACTCTGCCCCTTAAGGACTTGCTTAGCTCTTCCTTTCTTCGGAGAGACAGGCTGTATGGGTTTAGGGATGATGAGTGCACCTATGATCGTTACTGAATTACGTCAAACCAGTTGTATTTCATTAGTATGTTTTCCAACCACAGCCACCATTTTTTACTGCAGCTTTATAGAAGATAAGTAAATAAATAAAGTGCTTTTAAACAACGGGAAATTCATAATCTCACAGAGGCATGACATTTAGCAGGATTCCCCCTCCATTGTGATGTAGCAAAAAGTTGGGAGCACGTGAAAGCAAAGGTTTGTAATAGAAACTCTGCAAAGCTCGATACCTTCTACAGGGCAGACTGCTCACAGTTAAACACCAAAGGAGGAGACAGGAGAACCAAGGCTATCAAGTAAATGTCTGGCAGGAATTACAGCCCAACCCCAGAGTCCTGCGGTTCCCTTTTCCAATCGCTAAACCACATGCCTAGGTCTGGGCCTAGCAGAACTTGGATGCAGCATGTCAAACACACTTCCTGCGTTTTAGGATGGGAAGGAGGAACACACATTTCTAACTCTTCCAGAAGTAGTAGACTAGGTGGCAAGGAGCTACTTGTGAGCATACGTCACCTGCATGGGGAGATGAACTCTGCCTGATGGTTTGTAAACATGTAGTTGCAGAGCTTTGGATGTTAATCCAGAGCTAACAGGACCTGGCTGAAGAAATTAAGGAATCAGTGTGGGAAGGGATTTTGTTTCAATTAAAGATATACTTTTATTGCATCAGTCTTTGGAGTAAATTGTGCTGTGTCCCTGACAAACCTGTGTTCGTAGGACTGCTCCCAAAGCCACGTAGCTTAGCTCTAGCTGAATTACATGGGTCAAAGCATCCTCTTCCACTGGAGGTGAAAGCCTGCTCCACCCTGAAATTGAAGGTCAGATTTACCAAAGGTCACAATATTTATGATGAATATCTTGGCAATCGGATTCACCAGATATCGTGGACTTAATTCACGCACAGAATTCCAGCCCAGGATACCTCTGCACCCAGGCTCTACCCATTGCCCAGGAACACAGCCAGGTGCAAGCAAGGTGGCATTTGCACCTGGCCCAGTACATGGAACAGAACCTCGTTCCAAGCCAGTAAGGAGAGATGTTTACGCACCGCTGGTGAGCAGTCTGGCAGGCTCCCGTCCCACTCTTCAGGGCAAGGGCAGCAGTCCTGCCCAGCTGTGCTCACCTCCCTGGCAGAGCTCACCGTGCACAAAGGACGTGGATTTCAGGTCGATGTCAATGGCAGAGAAAGGAAAACCAATGAACTCTGAATTTTTAATGCAAGACTGCTCTCCGTACCTTACGAGAGAATGACACAGCTTTCATTGCCGAGGTGGCATAGCATAATTTCAATTATTTTTTAGATAAACACAATGCTTAGATTCACATTTTGCTGATTTAACAATTTGTTAAATTTTTACATAATCATTAGTTGCTTTTTTCCCCAAGGTACATAAGAACACTCTATATAAAAATACTTCTTTAAATGAAACATTCACAACCACATAATCAGATTGTTGAAATGCCATGAGCCTATTATACTTCACAGTGCAAAAAGGTTAGCAGCACAGGTATTTCAGTATGCTTTCCAGTGCATACATCCATATAAACACCTAATTTTGATTTTTTTTTCCTTCTTGAAAGTATTCCGCTTTAGCCTTAAAGCCAGCGGGCTCACAGAAAAGCAATACAGCATGGAAATCGACTCGGGTATTGTTATATTCACACGTAACATGTTTACACTGAGGAGTGATTTAGAATTTATGTTTATACTCAATACAATAAAAATAAAAACCAAACTACATATATAATTTTGACATTTTAATTAACTTTCAGGTGTCACTTTCCTTTTTTCCCCAAAACCCCCATATTTTCAAAATCATACAGTGATTTTGAGTGTATTGATTTTTGGTTGCCCTATCTGCTACCTCTCTTGCCCCAGGTTTGCGAAGACTTGTTCAATGCGGTTCCCACTGATTACAAAAGAAGTTGTTAATACTCTGAGCTTCTAATAAAGTCCAGGATAATGCAGGACGATAAACCAAGGACTCAGACAGCAGCAGCTATTGGCCACTACTGAGAACATTGGCTATAAAGTCCCATTTTCTTCTCATGTAGATACCCGAGACATCCTCAAAATTTCCTAAGAGCTTTGCCAAAAAAGATGAGAGGATAATTAGACCCTTGTTTATAGTGGTTTACATCCCTAAATCTGCTCTTTGATGCTGCAGTTCATTGCTTGTTTCAGCAGAACTAGCACACACACGATATGTAGCCAGTCATCACATATTTCCATACTCCTTTCTTAAACCCTTCTGACTGTGAAGAAGAAAGTTGTGTCTTACAGGACATGTTCTGGTGGCCAAGCCCTGTACCAGTCATTCTGGATGGCAAGAAGGGAAAGAAACTAACCACTGGGGCATCAATAATTTTTAGTTCCATGTGCAAACCAACATGGTCCTTCCAAAAACAGACCAAATCAGTGAACTTGTATTATTTGTCCTCCATTTGTGAGAATCTCTTCTCTACTCCTGCTTCTTCCTGAGCCACAATAAGAAGGAAAAAACAGACTATTTACCAGCAAAATATACTGCAGAGACAGCCAGAATGCTGCCCTCTTCACCCCACTTTGCAAGCACAAGTTAATTTACATATTGCTGGATATCTATTAAGTAGTAGATACCATACGGATGAGATCTGTGTGAGACTGGATATGCCGTTCATTCTTTTTAGTCCGTAGGGCCCCTCTGATTAAGTTGCTCTAACCCTTCCTAGGCCTACAGGTGGACTGTAGTTAAGAAAGGGCAGAGAAGGCTTTCGCCTACCCCAGAGCATCTCCCCTTCCACATGCAAATTTGTATTTATGCTTTAGAGACCAAAGTTTCCCACTGCAGAACCAGGAAAGGAAATGTACTGGCAAGGCCATTCCTAATGGCAGGGGAGGAACCTCAGTTTATAGACCATAATATGACAGGAAAGGAACATCACTATGGGCTAGCAGCATATTTCTCCCCCAAACGCTATAGTAAAAGTTGGTTTTCATGGACACCTAGCAACAGCTCACTCAGCTCCACACCTGGGAACCAGAATGTTTTGATCCCATGCAGCCCGTGGAGACACTCACTCTGACCTTGGTGGGTTTTCAGCTGGGCTCTGCTAGGGTACTTCTAAATACATTATATCCATTTTATATACTGAATTATCAACTTGATATACGAGAGGCAGGATTATGACCTCTCATTAAAATACATACACCCCAAATCTGGGACAACTGTGGTCAGATTTAACCAAGTAGAATGGTATATATTAGCTCTGCAGGAGCTCTCCTTAAATTGAATTTTGCCCAGGTGGAAAGGCAACAGCTGTACACTCACTCCGTCAGAAGTGGGCCTGATTTTCTCTTACGTTTCTTGCCATCCCACTCAGTTGCCTTATTAGCTGGCTTCTGGCTGTAGTGATGAAAACAGTATTTAGGTCAATGTGTTCTTTGTTAATTGCATTAGCCATGTGACCAAGACTTAGGCTTCCTCTTCTCCTGGCACTGCCTTTGGCTATTAACGTGTGGTCTTTAAATATATTTCATTCTTAGCAGTGTACTTAATCTGTCAGGTGAGATGGATAGAATCTGTTTTAGGCAGACTAAGATGATCAGTGGAATGCTAATTAAAAAATTCACATGGGGGTAGAGACCTCTTTTTATAAAGAAATACAAGCCATTTTATATGCCACTTTTTATACTGAGACCCGAAAAGCAGAGGGAAAAATTCTTGTGTGTTCTGTATTTGAGGTCCAATTACATTCAGGATATGGTTTAAGGTTTATTTTGGTGTGGTGGGGTTTTTTTTGGGGGGGGGCGGGGTGGGGTGTGAGGGTTATAATTTTTTTCGCATGTTAGCAAAGATCATAAGAGAAGTGTGTTCCAACCCACACACATGTATATATCTCCTGAAGCAGGTTCAGCAAATGGAGAACAGTTTCTGCCATGGAAACGGAAAATTACTATACTAGTAGTATGGCTACGTCCAGCAGAAGGATCAGCATTACTTTAACTAGGGGCATCAAAATCAAAAGACCTTTGAGAGGTCTGTATTCAGAGGGTAAAGAAAAATTCCTTCTCCTTGTTTATTTATTGAATGCCATTGGATCCTACATACTAGCCAAAATCCAGACAGCCCGGTGATAATGAATTACTGAATTCCAGCACCGGCAGAGACTAGAAATTTCCTTTAGCTAAGCTCAAGTTTTGAGTTTAACTTTATTCCCCAGGACATTCACTACATTTTGAGCAGGAAATAAATATCCTGAAACTATTTGCTAAGTGTTCAGCTTTGAAAGAGAATATTTGTTCTGAATGCCTCAAGATTAGGGCTCAGTAAAATACTTGTCAGAGGACCTTGGCCCTTTCCCTTGTGCTGTGCCCATCACCGCTCAGTCCAGGAGGCTGTGGGGTAGCGTTCCAGGAGCACGTTCCTCATCTGGGCTGTGTGGATCTTGTCTCTGGTCTCCACAGTGCAGGTGACCTGGGAAAAGAATTAGGAACATTCCTGACGGAATGGCAGCGATCTCAGACAAAGGCATTTCCAGCTCAATCCTAAAATACACTCGTAAAAGCAAAGTGATCGGTTCAATGTAAAAACTGGGGAGCACGCATCCCCTATCTCTGCAGGTAAAACGGACACTGCAGACTGCTGGGGCTCTTCCAGCCCTTCTGCACCACCTTAAAGCCTTCCAACAGCCCTACTTTATTGCCTTCAAAATTTGAAGAAGACGGACTGAACCTCTGCTGGGTCCCGGGCAAAATACTTGTCCGCTCTTGGCCCCCTCAGTGTCATCCGTTAGCAGCTTCTCTTTTCCGTTCCCTGGGGTATGTATGTGGTGCTGCTGCCACCTCACCCATCTCTGAGTCTTACCACATTTCCATATTTCGGGGCAGTGTTTGTTCCATCCTTCAGGCTTTTTATATTCTCCTCCTCCTCCCTCTCACGGCGCTATCCCCCAGTCCTTTATGGTCTCTGCAGTATTCTGGCTCCTTTCACCTAATCATGCACCTTCTTGTTTCACTCTGATTTTTTGTTTGCTCATTGCATCACTTCTGGTTTTCTGGGATGCCTGTTCTGCTGCTAAATCAAACTCAACTCAGACAAACCTAATCTTGATAGTTTTCTTTTTGTTCTTCACTTGTCTCTACAAGTATTACTGGCAATCCTGTCACGCAGCCACTGAAGATGGTAACATCAACGCCATTTTTTCTGTCCTTCTTTGATCCCTCATCTCTACGTATTCACATCACTACTGCAGCATCTGAAAATTTGGGCGGTACCACTGGCTCTGCACCCATGCAAAGGTGCAGAAGGGAAATGATGCTTCACAATCTTAGACTACTGGTAACTTCCATCACCTCTGACCCTGCTGGAATTATCACTGAAGTTGAAAGTGCCACGTGGAAAAAAAGACCTCACAGAAACATGGAAATCTAGCGAGGAAAGGATCCTAGATGAGTCACTGTGCAACAACAGAGTTTATTGTAACCGGCAGATCTACAGGGGATAGAGAAAAGGCTGATCTCAGTAGCCTTAAGGTGGACTGCTAGAGACAGATGGCCTGCATAACGCTCCTATCAGAACTGCACCCTTCACAGAAAACCACAAGGCAGAAAATCAAATCGTCTCCACCCAAATATGTTTATGAGGAAATTTCTAAATAAGAACTTTGTGAATTCTTCTTTCCTGGAATGACCTTAAAAGAACCATGAACCTTTAGCAAACCTGTTGAATGAGAAAATAAAGCACTAACTCCAGGTGATTCCAAACAGCCATGAACTCACTTAATCAGAAAACTGGCTATAGCTTCTTAAATGTCCATTTTGAAATAATCCATATTTCTGATCTGTTTCTGTAATTATTCTCCTCTCATCCTGAACATAGTTCTATTCTTGTTTGGTTCTTTGGAACACAAATTAGATATCAATTCCCTTCTCCTCTGAAAAAGTGGGATTTAGTCTCAATGGAAGGACAGTCATAGAGGACAATCATGAGGGAAGAGAAGAAAACACAGAGATTGGGAAAAGTACCTAAAGGATATCTAGGCACCAAAGTCACAGATATTCATTATCCTTTCCCTGATTCACATAAAATCCCTAAAGCTTTGCAGCCGTATCTTCAAGAGCACACACTCATCTCTCTTGGAACCTGTAATTAAAAAAAGCAACCTTTTCCCCCTTCTGCAGCAGTCCTGAGCAAATCAATTGCTGCATTTGGATCCAGGCTGGACTGATTCCAGCCTAAGGGTTTAGTTAGTCTGTTAGGTTTTTTATAGCAGGCCTACAAGCCGTGGAACACAGAGGAGTCTTCACTGAATATTGGTATCTTGTGTGTTTTATTTAATAATTAGAGATAATTGAGGGAGCAAGACAAAGGCTGACAAAAAGATAAAGGAAAAAAATCGATCACAAGTTATTACTCTGTGAAACACCAAAATCCACAAACATAAATAAAAATATTCACTGGAATTCTGTCCACAAAAGTAAGGAAATATGCAAAGTCCTGTGCTGAACAATTTAGGCAATAGGGTGGGTACCTCTGCTCCCCTTCAACTACGAGTCTCACGTGTGGACACTTATCCTTTACAGTCGTATTTTCCAAGATATTACAAATACGTTTGGCATGCCTCTCAACTCCCTGATGCCTGGTATCTGTAGGCTGTGCGTGCAAATAAAGTCATTGGGTGGCCATGCTGAGCCAGTACTAGAGAGCAGAGGAGATGTGAGCAGTAGTATTGCTCAGCCAAAAGATTTCAGTGATTTGTGCTTTTCCAGGCTCCATGTAAAAATAGATCGTAACCAGGTAGTGCAATCCTCTATGTCCCTGACTCATCCATTGAAACTCTGTATCCCGCTTCTTTAATCCTAGAAACCATATTCACCTTATTCTAAATTGTTGGCCTTGGAGGATTTACATAACTTAATATATGTGACACACCATGCTCATATGTTTAGGTTTGTTTAGACAAAAATCACTGGAGTTAGAAATGAAAACTTTATTTACATAAACTGGTTTCAGCTCTATAAATAAAGCAAGGCTTTTCATTTCTATTAAAAAAAGCTCAACAACTGGGCAATTTTCTGAACTATTCAGTAAACACCCAATGTAGGTTGCTGCACATTGCAGGCTATTTGACAACAGCACTTCAGTTTATGGTTTGGGGATCAGCTGCCAGAGTGTCCCCAAGGTCAGTGCAATGCAATGCTTGAGAGGGAGCGCAACAGCTCCCACGACTGTCATGTGGTTGTGCAACCTGAGCCCTTATCTTTTGGCATACTCTTGCATTCAGGTCGGTGAGCACAAGCACAAACAAGTTAGTGTCTCATTACCTAAGGCAGGTAATAATCCAACAGGTCTACACGTAGCCTCCCCAGACTCAGGCTCTCATTTCTACAACTGGGGCAGGTTATTCTGTACCAGGTCAGCCTGCTGTGGAATGGCATTACAGAAAACGACCAAATTACTTTAGAGAGCCTCAGAAGAAATGCACTGTCCAACTTCCCGCTCCGAACATCTCTGTTTTGCAGATGGGGAATGGAAGCATGGAAACTGCACCTTGCTCAGGTCACACAGGAAATGCTTTAGGAATGATAGTGGCCTTTTCACAGCTGGACAGCTGCATGCTCTTCTATAATCTCTTTACAGCATAATAACATGGAATATGTTGGCAACTGGGGACTCTAATCCAAAATATTCTCCTCTGTCCTTTTATAAAATGCAAGTTGGCCCAAAGGAATTTTCTCAGATTGACCAGAGCATATAATAATTTAATGAGTTCTGGTCTGAGGCGAATAAACTGTATGGAAAAAACAGGTATTACACCACACAGAATGAGCCAGGAAACCGAGCACCTCTGGGACAATGCGTAATGTCATTGTGAAAACAAAAAAAAAGAAAGCAATGTTTGATTAACGAATTGGTATTTTCTTGCACATTCAGAGGGAAAAGTAATGTGATGGATGTTCTTCTAAAAACTGGTCTCTTCTGAGTTATTTAAAACCACAGCAGAGTTTAGCTCCTGAGAGGTTTGAAGTGACCAGATCAGGCGAACCTCTGGGACAATGCGTAATGTCATTGTGAAAACAAAAAAAAAGAAAGCAATGTTTGATTAACGAATTGGTATTTTCTTGCACATTCAGAGGGAAAAGTAATGTGATGGATGTTCTTCTAAAAACTGGTCTCTTCTGAGTTATTTAAAACCACAGCAGAGTTTAGCTCCTGAGAGGTTTGAAGTGACCAGATCAGGCGACC